TCTTCACCTGGTAGCGTTAACATTATAGATCCCATTCAGAGCACTTTTACGTGTAGACAGCATCAATCTTTGAGCTATTGGCAATGGAATGATTCTTTTCAAAATGTCTAATAAACGTGCCTTGAGGCAATCTACATGTAATTCTACCGTTCCAGCTCGATTGTCCTGCTCCTCCGTATCTGATGGTCCTCCTCTTCATACCGATGGAGCTGCCGTCCTGGAAGTCGCACCGCGTGGTCCAGCGCAACTGGCAGCCCTCGATGCCTGCCACGTAACATCACCAGGCACAGAACGAGCTTGCTTCCGACGTGCCAGGCGCCGCAGAAGCTGTACGCGTCAGTTGGTATGCCGACTGATATTCCGACCGTACCGTATGCTGAGACGACCTCGAATATAATGTTAAAGACCGAAAACGTCACGGGATCTTGGATGAATTTTGACGTCTCGATGATGGTGATGATCAGAACAGCGAGAACTAACCACCAAAGATCATGGGCAAGCTGTCCGCGAATCTGGTGGCTGATGAAACTGACGCGACTTTCGCCCTGCTCGGCGGCGCTCTGCCCAAGTCCCGGTCCTTTCGGTGGCACAACACCAACGCCGTGAAAGCTCATGAAGGTGCTCTTGAACGCGCGACGAGCTTCGATGACCGGGCCCGAACGGCTCAGTCGACGTGCCAAGACAGAAGGTCGGGCAGAAGCCGCGCCAATGCTAGTAGTGCGTGCCAGTGTCGGAGGTCGACTGCCTATAGGGAGCAAGGGATCGGCCACCTCAGGGTCGATCTCGGATGCGGTGTCTATGTCGTCGCTGTATATGCCGAGTGATCGCTCCTCGTAAATGTTGGAATGGCGCATGGTGATGACGACGGGGTAGACCGAGATATACATCATTATAACGTAGAGTAGCTGTAAGCCGATGAAGAGGCCTGAGATAGGGACGACGTAGAAACCTCCGGACCGCACAGCTAGCCGGTATGTTAGCCTCCTCCTGTTTGACATGTGATGATCCAAAGGAAGAACGATTTGAAGGCTTACCAAGTGCTTGAAAGAGACCATTGAGCACCCGGTAGCCTGTGGGTATCTTCTCGATGACAGAATTCCCAATGTTGAGAACCTCAAAGGCCACCCAGTCCACAGAGTTGAGTGAAATCAACATAAATAAAAGCCACCAAGAGGGTCGAGAAGGGAAGAGATTGGTGTAAACTCGGCGAGGGTATTTCAAAATAAACGCTAGGGTTTCTTTTAGGTCGATGAAAGCGTCTTCTCGCGTGGTCAGGTTCAGGATGCGGAGGGAGGACCAGATGATGAGACGAAGGAAGAGAGGGTACGCGGTATTGCCTGCCAGTATCAAGAGACCCATTGTGATGAGAACATACGGCGCCTGTTGGAAAGGAATCATGTTGGCGTCCAGGAGCGACATGCCCGAATTATTGAAGGCAGAAACGGCGTTGAAGATACCGAGCCACCACGGATTGATACCGTTAGCCCTTGCCGTATCGGGCATGTAGTTGTTCATCCAGGCTCCAAGGGCAAGGGATGCCAGAACCTGCCACAGGAAGAAGTAGGTTGGCACCAACATGGCTAGGACCTTGAGGGCACGGTATTCGCAGCCGCCGAGATGATCGCGTTCATCGCTGCTTAGGTCATGGAACTGACCGTGGCGACTAGCTGCACGATGTTTCAAGAAGTTGCGAGCGTCCGCGTCGGCAGTAGTCAGATCTACTGAAGCATTGTAGGGCCTTCTCAGTGGACGCGCCGGTCCATTCGGGTTGCCAAGAAGAGAGACTCCCGTCGAGGTGGCTTGGTTGTCGGCGACATTGGGGTGCGGTGCATCGTCAAAGGTAATGTGGCCCGGTGCCTGCGAGTCCGTCACCTCCTGGGTGCTTCCGGGCACATCCTCAGGTGCATCCTCGAGTGTAGGCCGGTGGCGGTCTTTGGGCGAGGCTTCTGCATCGTCCGCTCGTTTGTCGTCTGCCCGAGTTTCGCCCTTCTCCGACTCGGCAGTCTTTGTAGCTCTGAGAGACTGGCCTGGAGGAGGCGGTGCTGACTGCGATTTACCAAAGGAGAATGCCATCTGCAGCCTGGGCAAGTCGAGAGGTAGTCGCGGCAAACCTAGCGATATGGTACTGCCCTGACGACTGAGTTTACGCGCGCGCTCTGCTCGGACTATTTCATCGAAGCGCTTCTCAAATACATGTTTGCGGGCCAAGACCGTCCAGATGGAGACCCAAATGGTACTGCCCAAGAGCAGTAGGAAAAACAGGAGTGTTTGTTGCCAGGCCGTCAGTTGGCTGAGGTTGACGGTATTGAGGCCCGCCTCGGTCATGGCAGACACAACGAGGAAGAGGCTATCGGTGTAACTGACCGAGAACGCAGGATCGGATGAGCCCCAGAAGATGACGGACGTGATGAGACAGACGAGGATGAAGTAGGCATAATGAATGGTGATGAAGTTTAGAGGTGGTAAATAGCGACGCAAGCGACCCGAGAAGCGCGCGAGCCACCGCTCGAGGGAGCCGATGGAACTCATGCGAGGATTGCTAGAGACTTGGAGAGGTTGTCGATGGAAATATGTCGATGTACACAGGATGCATTAGGAACAGAATGGTCGTGATCGTTGTTGATGTGCCAAGAGGACGTCGAGAGCGACAGCGACAGCGACAGCGTCAGATGACGGCACTCGACTGCGCGGTTGACGCACCTGGTCCCCTAAACCAAGTACGTACATTGTTGATTGATGTGCCTTGTTTCGCGCTATTTGAGACGGGCGGTGCAATGCTAAGAGACAGAGAGGGACAAGGTCCGGCAGTCGGGCTTGCTCACTTGAACTTAAACTTCAACGGGCGCACCTCCTCATATTGATTGAGCTTACCTCATCTCACTCTTCCTCAATCGTTCATCTCACTTCTCTCACTTCACTTCACTTAACTCACTCACCTCTCACTAGAAACACTCAGTCTTATCACCGCAATACTGTTCACACTCCTATTGTTATTTGACCACTAGCTACGACTTGCTTGCTCAACTGCTGACCAAAGGACGCAGAGCCTTGGGGGGAAACACAGTTAAGCAACACCAGTAAGCCCAAACGCAGCCTCGACACCAACACCATATCCTCCCCATCCGTTAAAGTCATTCACAAACACGTCGGCAGCTCGTTGATACAGTCCGCCTGAAGCCCCCCAAGTCTCTTCGACCACCTTCATACCTCTGACGACCTTCGGGAAGTGCACGTCAGTCATCCACTTGCTGTTCAATGAGTTGTTGAAAATTGTGTCCCATGCAGGTGTCTCGCCACCCTTTGACAGACCTTCTTCATCCCAGTCGAGGCCCGGTCGAAGCTGTGCGATGTAAACCATCATGGTATAGAGGCCGTATTGTCTCATCACCGAAACCTTCTGCTCATGCGACCAGAGTGGCAGAAGAATGCGCAAAGCATGTGCAAAAGTCAAAATGTGAGCCACGAAGAAATCGAACATGCCCTCCTCATTATTGCGCGTTTCCATGAAGAGCCCCGCTGCCATCTTGGCGCAGTCCCCGAGCTGTGAGTCTGGATCCTCGACGACCCACGCGTGCCAGTGTTCGATTACTTCAGATCTGAATCTGCCGAGGAGTGTGAAGAGATTCACGAACCCCGGGGAATCGACGTAGCCATCGAATCTCTTGTCGGCACGGATACGACCCAAAACTTCCTTGATGCTTTTGGTCTTGTAAGTTGACGTGTCTGGTGGAGGGTTATCCAGAATCTCGTGAGTCGGATCGTACTCCGTGCAACCCATACTCAAGGCTTCCGTGGCGACCTTTTCGTCATCAAACTCGTATGCGTATGCAAGATGAATGAAAGGGTGACCGACTGCGATGATGAAAAGTTAGTTAAAACCAGATGTATCACCGGAAGTGATGAGACACAGCCTAGAAAACGGAAGACTTACGCCCTCCAGAGAACCCGTTGATAATCGGTTCAGGTCCAGCCCAGACATAGTCTTCTACAACCTTTTCCCAGTCGCCGCCGTATTTCGCAACTTCACCGTCAAAGAATATGGCATAGGCCGCAGTGTATGGCTTCTGCCCAAGAAACTTCCTCCAGTTGAATTTGGTGACCTCTTCATGCGTGATTCGTTTGTCGTCAGATTCGACTAGATGAGGGGATTCGACGTCGAAAATATGCTGTAACTGGGAGTCTGTCGCGCCTAGAAGATAAGACGATCCAAGAGCCTACCACATGTGACGTGGTTGTATCAGCCTCCGTCCCAATGATTAAGTACCGAGACATGAGTGAATAGTGGCCGAACATCACGCACGAGGAATACTCACATGCGGCATATGGTTGTGTAGGATTAGTCGAGGGTCGCGAAGAATGGCGTGCTCATTGTGATTTCGATCCAGCAGCTTCTTAAGTTTCAAAGATGTGGGATCGCATAGCTCCGACAAACGGTGGGGAGGGACCTTCTCAAGCTTGATCGGCATGGTGACACCTTTGAAGTTGGGATACCTTGATTTGGGTTTGAATAATGAACAATAATGTGCCTGATATCAAAGATGGCTAGCATCTTCTGCTCGACTTTCAAGACAGTCATTTTATACTTGGTATATGTTCCGCTAGTATCCACAGCGGCAACGGCCCGGACAACTAGTCACCAGTTTCCAACATCCATCATCCGATTGGAGTCTCAGTATGGGGAATACGGCATCTGAATTATCCCCGCAATCAAAGAAGCGAATATGCTTAAGGGGTGGGATTCGGCGAACGGACATCACCACAACCGAGCTCTTCACTCCAGAGCCGGCGTCACTCCGGAAATCTTTAAAAGGTCCGAGACTCCGACGATGTGCTTCGGCACAACCAGGCCTCAAGGATGAGCCGAGAACGCCGTCAGCCAAATTCGTAACGTTATGTTAAGTCAGCTAGAGAGATCAGATCGTATCTCGATTCTTTCGAAAATCGGATAGGTTCCCCCATTCGTTCGTGAGTCTGATACACATGAGTCTAAGAAAGCAACTATGGGCGAACAGATGATTCCGCCCGGACAGGGCACCATCATGGTTCACAGTGACGCCATAGACGACAGCGATACTGCAATGGTGAATTCTTACTTGGTTGACTGGGATGGACCAAACGATCCAGAAAATCCGATGAACTGGTCAAAGTGCAAGAAGGCTCTATTCATCATGACGCTTGGGTACATCTCAACACTCAGGTATGGCTCATTTCTCAACCTAAGAAAGCAGAATCACACAACAAGACTGCATCAATACTAATAGAAATTGTTATTGCAGCCCCCTAGCATCATCAATTGCGGCACCGGGAATTGCTTCCATCAAGTCAGATTTCAACGTCACAGACACATACGTTGGGGCGTTCATGATTTCAGGATTTCTGATCGGCTACTGTTGTGGCCCGTTATTCATTGCACCGCTTTCAGAGATGTACGGTCGTTATGTTCTATACAACGCTGGTAGTCTCCTATTTCTCATTTTCAACGTTGCATGCTCCGTGGCACCCAACTCGGGTAGCATGATTGCGTTTCGCATCTTTGCTGGCATAGGCGGATCTACCCCGTTGACTCTTGGGGCTGCGTCGCTGGCAGACACAGTTCCGAGAGAAAAGAGAGGAGTTGCCATGATGGTCTGGACTCTTGGGCCGATGGTGGGCCCAACCATTGGGCCCATTGCAGGAGGCTATTTATCAAAAACGATAGGCTGGCGATGGTCTTTCCGAGCGGTGTCTGTTGCTGTGAGTTGATACTTTGGGCATAGCCGCTTTGTGTTCTTTAATCGCAGCTAACATGACTTTGAAGGCTGGAGTAGCTGCCCTCGGCACAGCATTCTGCATGCCCGAATCATACGCCCTGACCCTTCTGGAACGAAAGGCACGACGACTTCGCGTGCAGACCAGAAACCCACACCTCGAATCTGTTCTAGCAACCCACCGTAAGCCAAAAGACCTCTTCATGTTCTCCATTCTTCGACCGGCGAAGATGATGTTTCTCTCGCCCATTGTCTTCTGCCTTTCAGTTTATATGGCCATCCTCTACGGCTACCTCTACCTGCTTTTCACAACCTTCCCCCAGGTTTTCAAGCAGCAGTACGGATTCTCTCAAGGGTCAGCGGGGTTGGCGTACATCGGCATCGGTGTAGGCTCAGTGATCGGACTTCTATTTTCTGGTCTAGTGTCAGACAGGCTTGTGCTGAAGTTGTCACTCACAAATGGTGGGCAGTTTCAGCCGGAATATCGACTGCCGCCCATGCTTATGGGTGCTATCCTAGTCCCCATAGGACTGTTTTGGTATGGTTGGACTGCAGATAAACAGCTTCAATGGATGCTACCTATCATAGGAACAGCCATCCTAGGATGCGGGATTGTTATAGTCCTGGTAAGAGCCCGCACCTACCTATGCAACTGTGTCATCGGTACTGACGTGTGTATCTTGAAGATGTCGATCTCGACTTATCTGGTTGACGCATTTACGACATACGCTGCATCAGCCATGGCAGCCAGCACAGTCACCAGGTCATTGTTGGGCGCATTCTTGCCCCTGGCTGGTGACCGGTTGTATCAGAGCCTTGGGCTCGGATGGGGAAACTCGCTCCTCGGCTTCATTGCTTTCGTCATGATTCCAATCCCTTTAGTATTCTACAGATACGGTCAGGTCATCAGGCAAATGAAACTCTTCGAGACCGAGTTCTAGGTGGGAAGAACGCGCATACGGAAGCTTTTGAGTCGAACGACGGAAAGGGGGTAATGAGTCATGGAGCAATTAGCTAGAGAGTATGGACATCTCGTCAAAGGTCCTTGAGTCCTGAGGAACGGGTTTCAAAATCCCCCACATCAAGTCCATGATGGTGTAAAATCTTTATTCTTGTTGCTTTTATCTTCAGATCTCAATCTCGGCCATTGGAGCCGGCGACTTGTGGTGGCTCTTCATCGGTGTCAGACCCCAGCGGCCAAACATGGCATTATCCTCGTCCCAGCTGTTGCAGTCCGTCGTCAACATCTTTTCACCTGTGAAGATGGCGTTGGCTCCAGCCATGAAGCACATGGCCTGCTTCTCCTCCGACATGGTCTTCCTTCCGGCAGCAATACGGATAATGGTCGCCGGCATCAGAAGGCGGGCGGTCGCAATGGTCCGCAGCATGCTCGAGAACTGGATGGGCGTGCGGTCACCCAGCGGCGTACCCTTGATCGGCACAAGAGCGTTGACGGGGAAACTCTCGGGGTGGGAAGGGAGCGTGGAGACGGTGTGCAGCAGACCAACGCGGTCGTCGGATGACTCTCCGAGTCCGAGAATGCCACCCGAACACACGTTGATACCGGCGTCGCGGACGTGGCTCAGGGTCTTGAGGCGCTCGTCGTAGCTGCGAGTCGAGATGACGGACGGGTAGAACTCGCGGCTGGTGTCGACGTTGTGGTTGTAGGCAGTCAGTCCGGCCTCCTTGAGCTCCTTGGCCTGTTCCGAGTCAATCATGCCGAGGGTGACGCAGACCTCCATATCCATTGCCCGCACGCCCGTGACCATGGCCTTGATGTTCTTTAAGCTGTTCTTGCGGCCGCGCATATCGCGCCAAGCGGCGCCCATGCAAAAGCGCGTGCTACCGTTCTCCTTTGCAGTGCGGGCCGCGGCGAGGACAGACTCGACGCTCTCGACCTTCTTAGCCTTGAGGCCGGTGCCATCTTGGTATCGGGTTGACTGGGCGCAGTAGGAGCAGTCCTCGGTGCAGCCGCCGGTCTTGATGTTCATGAGCGTGCAGAGCTGGACTTCGGAAGGGTTGTGGAAGCGGCGGTGGATGGAGCCCTGGTGAATGATATTTCGTTAGCAATTCACGAGATGACGATGATGGTCTCGAGAAACGTACAGCTTGGAAAGCCAACTCCATCAGGGGTTGGTAGTAGATGGCAGAGATCTCCTCTCTTGTCCAGTCATGTCTAACAGTGGTTGCGCTGGCGGCCTTTTGCAGAATCTTCTTGGCCTCAATGGCACGCTGTGCGGCCTTCAGCTCGGCATCGTTGACCGGTGTTGGAGGCGGGGGAGCGGGTGCCACGCCGACAGCTTCGGCGACAGAGGACATGCATGCTCGGGATACAACCGGGAGCTGCTTATGGGTGAATTGTGAAGAGAGAGACGTTCGTCCAAGGCCTCGCAAGGCAGCGGTCCTGGCAACAGCCATTGCGTTGGCTTTCATATTTGTTTATTTGAGATGTCTGGTCCGAAGGTACCTTGGTGATGAAGGCGGATTTTGGCGCTCGGCAAGGGATGTTAGTCTGCAGGCTGGAGTCACCAATTGACTTTCTCAACGCCTCGAATGTAAGCTTAGGATCTAGTTGCCAGCGGACAGCAGGTATTCGTCAGTCCCTAGGTTGAACGAACAACAGATCTTGAAGAACGGCAAGGTAAGCTGTCAGACAGCTTCAGCACACGAAAGAATGAGGGGTGAGGGGTTTTGAAGCTTCAGGGTTCCCGCCTCACCACCTCGGGAATCGGTCGAGCAATAATAGCTCCCCTGTCCAACACGGTCCGGCCTGAAGCTGCTTCAGCAGCGCCATAAGCCATAACCGGCGGTTAGACACGCCTATGTGCGCATATCTGAGTCAACTTCAGAGCCAAGAGCCGGTGGGTTAACACTGCTGCATTGGCAAAGCTTCCCGCAGCTCTCGGCTAACCGGATGCGACCCCAGGATTCTTGGATTGGTGGAAAGCCTGGGTGGAGAGGTTGAGAGGGGACTTAGGGGAGCGAAGGGGGCACAGGGAAGAGGTCATCTCGAAAAGAAACGATACGATAGGGCGCGTTATCCCCCGCCGGGTGTAGCTACAGCGAGTGGAGCGTTACGCGCGAAGCGTTGACCTCCAGTCTGCTTCTCAGCATCCCCAACAAAACTCTCCGCGGAACGCGCGAGTATATTCCCGAGCCCCTTGGCAAAATGTTGTACTCCCACTGCAAGCTCGGAAGCTTCTGGAGAATCTCCATCTTCTGCAACGTGCACTGAGCCGTAAGCTCAACCTACAATGGTCATTAGAAGGCAGTGATGCTGTTCCCACAAGCTGACCGTTGGATACATTTGCTGGCTTCAAGATGGTTGTGGGAACGACTCCCGCAGTGACGAACCAAGACCCATCGAAACATTGCGGGCATTATTGGCATTCAGGGATCAAGCTACGGCACGCTAAAAGCGGGGGTTTCGCGCCAATCTTAGAAATCTGCTCATCAACGAGTGACCATTGAGGTGTTTCTTGTGACAGTTCTGAGGCCAGGATTGGGCTTGGGATCTGAGCAATGGTTGCATTTAAAATAGGAGCCTTCTCCTACCTTCCACCTTGAACGTTTTTACTTCAAAAGCGCGTCGGTCGAGCTGGCATTTTTGGGCGGGTGAAAGCAAGCCCGATGATCCTCCAATGAACAGAGCACACTTCTAAATATGTTTCTCAGGTATGGTTTGACTGTCGATCACATGCAAAGCTGAAAGATGATGAGTCAACCCATGACGTGCGCGTGGGGAATATCATGAAAGATTGAGGACTTGTAATCTCAACAACACATGATATTTCAATTTCAACAATGCGCTTAGAGCCGTTTCCTTTAAGGAATTAGACATTGCAATAGCCAGCTGATTGATAATGCCGTTCAAACTAATGGACAACATAACATGCACTTTGAACACCAACCAGAATGCCTCAAGCAAGGATACTGTAGAGTTGACTTTCCATCTCATTGAGTTGCGTCTTTCAACTCTGCAGTGGAACTATTCATACAGAGTGCCGCTCGTGTACTTGAGACCCGTATCACAAGCCACCGTGACAACCACTTTGCCAGGGCCAAGTTCCTTAGCCAAGGATAGAGCTCCAACAACATTAAGTCCTGTTGAAGTTCCCGTCAAAAGTCCCTCTTCCTTTGCAAGTCTACGGCACATGGCCCGCGCCTCATCCTCCGGATACGCTCGTGCTTCGTCGTATAAGGTGTCGTCAAGCAATGGGGGAACAAATCCGGGGCTGATACCTTCAATTCCATGGACACCTCCGTGTCCCTTGGCAACAACAGGCGATGATGCAGGCTCAAGCGTGATAATCTTTGTATCGGCACGCACACCTTTAAGCACCTTTGCAACTCCCATCACCATGCCAGCGCCGCCAATGGCACCGCAGAAGGCATCAATTCCTTGTGGAAACTGCTGGACCAATTCGTCTCCAAGAGTCTTGTAACCCGCCATACAGTCCTTGTTCTTGAACTGGTCTGCGGCGTAGTACCCCTCGTTTTCTTCGACGATTGTCTTCGCCTTCTTGACCATAGACGGAAACAAATCTGGCGTAATCTTTCCGGTGGGACTGTGGACGATATCGACAAAAGCCCCGAAAGCAGCCATCGTGCGCAATTTCTCTTTGGCGAAGACATCCGAGCAGACGGCATGGAACCCGTACCCCTTCAAGGTGCATACAAAGGCCAGAGAAGACCCCGTGCTACCGCCGGTGGCTTCGACTATAGTCGAGCCTGGCTTCAAGTCTCCTCGGCGCTCTGCCTCTTCAACTATGGCTCTGGCCAGGCGATCTTTGTAGGAGCCCGTGGGGTTGAGAGACTCAAGCTTCAAATACACGTCGGCGCTACCTTCCGGTACAACACTACGCAGTCGTACGCATGGTGTGTTGCCGATGGCATCTAGGGCTGAGTGAACAGGTGGGGGAGCGGATATCGCAGTCATGTTGAGTTGCGATATTGCTCAGTTCCTTTGACTGAGAATTAGTATCAATGTGGTAAAGTATGACATAAGTAAAGTTGTCTAAGTCACCCTAACTCACTTGTCGAATGCTATTAGAGATCGTCTATCGGGTATAAAAGTATGCGTCATTGGCATCGTTGTCAAGCCCAGTATTCCCTCATACTAACCTTATATAATCAACCAGGCACTCTGGGGATTGTGGGGGCGGGCTTCGACTGGCCAGTGAGCACCCGCGCCCTTCTGACCCAGTCCCGTCAGATTGCTGTCGAACAAAGGCGTAAAGCCAGCGGACATCCTCGAGGCGCAACAGCAAGCGGCGCGAATACTCACATAAGCTATTAATTAGAAGCATGTCCGATGAGGATCGGGACCCTGTGTTCAGAGAGAAAATTGCAGCAATCAAGCAAGGCTGGCGGCCATACCAATTGCTTACCTAACTTCTTATGTTCTTTCATCTGACTTCAGACCGAAACTGAAGTACGGATAGTCCACTGCCAGTTAGCCAGCCAGAGCTTCCGAGTCGCTGACTACAACTTTGCGGGGACTGTTGAGGTGTTGCAGATGCTCTTAAACTTCCTTTCACGTGCTGGATGTGGAACATGGGCTGGCCGTAGCCCCATATTTCGGCGTCAGACTACAGAATAACTAAAGCACGGAGATATTCCTTATTTTTTGACAATTGATTATCATTCTTATGGCAAAAGAAAGTTCCTATCGTGATAACCTCAACTATCCAAAAACCGTATCATCCGTCGTTCACTCTTGGTTATAGGATTATTTGAATTGGCAGTGATTTATGTTGAAGTTTTGCATGCTTAGAAGCCATCATAGCAGAACCCCAGCCACACGTGCCAGATGGCAAATTAACCAGCACCGCCTTCAGAATCTCTGAAAAGCATCTCTGAGTATGGAATAACGATGACTGTGTTCTAATCATGGCACCGCGCTCCAGCTTCCACGGACCCGTCGACAACACAACACTGAATTTCGGGTCCGGGCCGTCCCCCGCGGCCGGATCCTTGAGCAACGTGCAATCAACGTATGGTTCGTTAAAGGCAGCTCTTTTGCGAAGAGCTGATACGGCTAAGGATTAGAAACGACACTAACCGTGGACGCATGGGCGCCGTGTTCTCAGTACTCGCCAGCGTTATCATACGAGAGCGAGCCCAGGTGGGAAGGAATCAAGGATTCGTTCCATCATGACTGACTCGCGGGTTCCGTATTGCCGTGAACCCCTTGAAGCGCGATTAGCCACCCACACCAACGTAGGACGCACGGTACGGTAGTACACAGAGGCTGGCAGACATGAGCTGTGAGTACCGGCATGGATCTGGGGTAGACAAACGGTCAATAGAGTGCGCCCCTGTTTCGGGCGTCTCAGACACCAGTCCACCGGAAGGAGTGGCTTTGCATCAGCAGCGCAGCATCCATCAAGCATTGCAACGCCACGCAGGGGACTTCCATCTTGCCTCGCAATCAGGCCTCGGATCTACAGAAAATGGCAGGGGACCCCAAAGCTTATTAGACGCTAAATCCCCGAGGCCACGAAAGAGCATTGGGCATTGCGACATACTGATAGCATTGTGCATTTTGATTGACTGAGGGGGACATTGTCTGGGAGATAGCCAATGGACACATACAGGGGAGATGAACTAGTGGCGTTTTCCTTTCATCTGACGGCCATCTGACGCTGCCATATCAATTCCTCACTGGTTCTACTCACGCGCTATCTTTTCTTCTTTCTATCCCTTACCCGGTGGGCGCGTTATCTTTTAACGGACTGTCGCCCCATGAGCAACGGGCACTAAGCCACAATACGAGAACGCCCAAAATGCGCATACCTCCCACATCGAATCTAATGTGAACGGTGAAACGGTATGGCGATGCAGTGACCGAGATTAGGTAAAGATTGATTGCGCTCATCCAACGTTGTGCCTGATCAATGCTAACGAATCGGCAGCTATTATTTCGCCAGTATTATAAGCCAGAAGTCTTCCTTCTGTCGAATAATACTCGCAGATCGAGGCACGCACCAAGATCTGGAGACGTGTACTCGTGCAGAATGAGACAGTCTTAGCAAAGCCATGTCACAAATCTCGAATTCTTGCACAAGCGTTAGTTGCTCTTTTCGCTCATATTTGTAGATTTTTGTTTAACATTTGTTTTCAACTAATCAGGACTGGAATCCTCCAAGTAGCCAACGGCTTTCGGGCCTGGTATCATTACCTAAAACTACCGAACGTTCACGAATCCCATTGTCCAGTTGATTTTGCTGCGACATGGCTTCAGCAAAGGTGGACTTGGCAGTCGCAATACCCACCTTCATCGGATCTGTCTTGTCGGCCCTTTTTACATTTGCCGTCCTAATTTTGCATTTTATTTCTCCTCCGAGACGCCGGCATGTCCGCCATGCGCTCATTGTTAATCTTCTACTATCCGGTATGTTGAACAACAAGAAGCAATGGATCAAGTTATGTCTAACAGTGTGTCTTTAGACTTTGTCGACATGGTGAACAATACTGTAACTGGTATCATATTACTGAGGGATGGCCCTCTTGACCAAGCACTTCCTGCCGGAGGATGTACCATGAATGCGTGGGTGGGCCAGCTTACAGTTCAAACGACGGATTTCAATATCTTGTTCATCTCGATAACGGTCCTTCTCACTGTAAACAAGAATCATCTGCTGCAAGATTCTTCACTACGACGAATCCTTGTTGTATGTCTCTGTGCATGGATACCGGGCATTATCACTAGTAGGTCATTCACTGCTCCATGTTCAGAAAATTGCACATTTTGACGCTCGAACTAGGCTTCACTGCCCTTGGATTGCATATATATGGCCCAGTGGGTGGGAATTGGTGCTGGATTCAGAAGAAGTATCCCGTTTACCGTTGGGCATTATCCTTTGGGTGGCGCCTCTTGATATTCTTCTTGACAGTCGGCATCTATACAGCCATTTACATCAAACTGAGACGATTATTCGGCCGCTTCCGGTTTTCGGAAAATTCTATCGAAGCTATCACCACAGGCAGGAGCCGCCGCACACAAACTATACCATCATCCGGCGAAGATCAGAAACCTCCCACGGAGCAGTATATCATGAAGACGACGTCGTTCACCGTTTCACACGACCAGGAGGACAATCGAGGCTTGGCTAGCGATTCGTCATCAACAGCACCGATCAACGACCGGAACGATCAGACCGACGACCTGAACTTTGCGTCATCACACAACGCAGCTATTGGAGGAGATCATACCGCAGGCTTGGGAGAACCGGACGTGTGTACCGACCCGCCAAAGCTCCCACCACCACCAAACCTGCGGCGTATGCTGTTATTGAACGGTTACCCGATCGGCTATCTCATTCTCTGGACACCTGGGATTGTAAATCGATTGATTGAGATACAGGGCCGCACTTCGCCAAATTGGCTCATTGGTCTGCTAGCGTCTTCACAGTATATTGGCTTAGTACACGCTGTCACGTATGGCTACAACGAGCAGATCGGGCGTACTATCCGATCTTGGACCAATTTCCGGCGGAAAACCCATAGGCTCGGAGAATAGGAGGTTCGAGAATCACAAATGACCCGACACGAATCCCAACCGCATTTCGACAGCCTTCGGCGACATAGCGAGCGATTTACTTGGCACTTGTCAGGCATAATTTTCCCTTACTCAGGTGAAGGACGTCTAATTTTATTTAATATCAAGTGTAAAAACAACTTTTTAGATTCAGCCTTGTTCAAACATGTTTCGTGCGTGCTGTGCGAGTTGTACATGATAATCTGATATTCTTGCGGTCTACTTTTCTACACTCTGGCTTGTCAAGCCGGGTGGCCGTGTTGCTTAGCAGGTTGATAGCCAGGACTAAGCAGACTGAGCATGTTCAGCTTGCAGATTCGGCCAATAATTACGAACCAGACTCATGCTAGCTAGCGTTTGGCGCTTTTGCCTATGCGAATCACTCTAGACTCTGGAGTTGGATCTTTCAGACGGTACGCCTCACCGCCAGGTGTAGAGCATCAGCAAATGCGCCGACAGGGAGGGAAAGAAACCGAGCTTGGCGAGGCGACTTGAAAATGGTTGCCTGCAGGTCACCAACAGAAACAGGAGCATACTGAATATCTGAGCACTTCGTCACTAAAAACTTGGGCACCCACAGAAATATCGAGGCACAGAGCTTACCGGTCGATGCCCTCAAGCCATAGACAACTTTTAAGGGTGCATCTTAGACAGAACACTACCCCTTTCACCCCAACTTGTGACAGCGCAAGACTATCATAACTTCTCCGCATACCTCTCCATGCTTACCTAGGTAGCTAACAGTACTTCGGTTTCCATGACCTCTTGAAGCTCAACGTCAGGCACCTCAAAATGTCGCTAAACATTCCGCAATCCGAAGGGTATTTCAATTATTCAGCTCTGCCACAAAGCTCGATCTGACTTGTGTAGATCGAAAGTGTATCATCGTCATCTCGCCAAGCGGCAGACGATTTAAACAAGGGCGTCTAAATTTCGCTCCACGACTACCCGATTTCATCGCACCCGTACTATCACTCCGTCATAGGGCTGGGGAGAAGCAGAATATCTTTGTGAGAACGAAAAGCCACAAGTTTTCACACCTGTGGAGTCTGTGGCGCCCGAACATGAGATCCAGACCGATAACATACTCGTCGCCAAGAGAATACAGTACGATCACATCAACCAGATTAGCACCGCTGGATATGTCATGATGGAAGAGAACATTGATACAGATTAGGACTTCAGAAGATGCATATTTGAACTCCTCAACTTCATATACGGAATTTAAGATGGGTGTAGAGCAGAAGTCACAAGGGTCAGTGAATCTTTATCGTGACTGGGCTTTTCTTTCCCTTTCCTTTCCATTCCTTTTTTTTTTCTTTTTGGTAAAAAGACCATACATTTATTTATCGACTTCCTGGCTCTATGTTGTGCAAGAGAAGAGGAAGAAGACGAGCTGAGTTCATCAGTAGAACAACGTGTAGAGATACCTTTTACATGTATCCTCAATTGCAGGGCTCTTCTTCAACATATACTGAGCTTCAGATTCCGTCTGATACACGATTCCCCAGTAGCACAAGATGCCAGACAAAGTGCTTCTGATTCCAATCTCAAGCAATACATGAGCTTATCGACCAGGTTCTCGAAACGATAACCTGCGAGTCGACTGTTTCTTCCTGATGCGAGAAACTCACGACCAAGATACCATAACGTACAGGACAAATTTGCGAGTAGAGAGCAGCGTCAAGAGGCTTTCTATATCGGTTATATGGTGGACTCCATCCAAGACCTCATGGTAACGGCTGGGGAGGCTAGCACCAGATCTGAATTGGTCGACCTACAAAGAAACCACCCTAAGACTTCGCACAACCTACAGAGGTCGATTAGAGCAATATTTGCGCTGAATTTTGTTGCTCGACTAAATTCGTTTACGGACTTACGTGGCCGCGCGGACCCGTCGAATCTGTATTGGAGTCAAATCCCCGAGTGGAAAAGATGAAGATTGGATCCTACACGGCTTGGATTTGCCAGAGAGTTTCAGGCCGGTAAATTCCGATCCGGACACATTCGAGTTTCTGGGTATTGCCATCGTATCAAATATGGTTGCTGACGTTGTGGGAATGGGGGAAAGTTCAATTATGTGCATCGGTATTAGAGGAGGACAATACACATCAAGGGACCACGTTCAGATATTATATTCCGAGCCAACAGCAGGAGAAAATTGCATGATAACAAGTCTCAAAATGATATTGGAGGCTCAAAGAAGTGATTACTATTGAGTAAAATTACATGGGGCGGTTGGCTACCTATCAGCATCCTGGGAGGTTGCTCTCGTGATGCTTCACAGCCTACATCACACCAACCAACCATGGATCGGGTTCACTCCGTTTGTGAGTCACACAGATGGCCAGACTAAGCGGAAATAAGAAGCTGTGTAAGATGTATGAATCCTTCGACCCGTCACTCCGTTTCCCCCCTCCCGAGTTCCTGGTTTTGTTCAATGAGGCAGTGAGGCTGAGTCTCAGATGCAATTTGCTCGTTGTTGGTGCTGTTGGTGCCGTGTGGTCCGTGCCGCAGAGGGAAAATGGGCGAAACGAGAATGGGAAAGAGCCAGGGGATGGAAGAAAGTACGCACGCGACCACCTGCCACAGCAACGGGAATCACCGCAGCTTACTCCGTCTCACCTCATCAAAGTCTCACTCATCTCTCAATCTCATTCTCACTCTCACTTTCACGTTCACTTTCACTCTCACACTCTTGTTCACTTCATCACTCAAAAGCTCGTCTCAAAACAACTAGAGCGGCTCCTGTTTCCCTGATTCATCAACATCATTCTTCCATCCACCTACAAAAGGAGAGCCGCAACCGCACCCAGATGATTGAGGGATCGCCAAGCTAAACCACCCACACCAACCAAGCATTCAAAAGGTCCATGATGCTGCAGCGTGCATATCGCCCCAATGCCGGGGCCTACCTACGGTTCCACGCCCCCGCGCGTACCATCCGCTCTTCGGCTCCGCGTTGGACGCGTCCAAACTCGAGTAGCACCGGCCCGTCACCAAGTTCCTCCTCCAACTTACCAAAGTACGCACTCGGAGCTGCTAGCGTCGCCGCCGGCTGGTTCATCGCCGATGTGGTGCGAGATCGCGGAAATGGCAACGGCAAGCCCACTGGCATCCCTTCGAGCCTGGAGCCTGGCACTCTTCCCAGCCTGGGATCCGGACCCGTTGACTTGGATGCCCTGGCCAAGACACCGGTTGATGGCGGCAGCTTCGAGACTGCGGATGCGAAGCTCCGTGAGGATGTCTTTGTGGGATCTTTCACTGCTGAGGGCAAGCACACTCATGTCCACGCCGCGAGAGTCGCGAGCAACCACCCTGTCGAGGACGTCATGACATTCTCCCTTGGCCCGGGTGTTGGAAAATCAGAGACATTGTACAACGGCGTCTATGATGGTCATGCGTGAGTCTCAATGTCATCTTCGCCTCTCAGATGCTTCTAGTACTAACCGAAACAGTGGATGGGCAACCTCGTTACTGCTCAAGAGCGCCCTCATCCCCGCCGTGTCCTCCTCCATCGCCCAACTCAGCCGTGGCACCGAAGACGCAGCAGTCGAAATAGCCATCGTCAAGGCCTTCACCAACCTCGACGACCTCATCACATCCAATGCCCAAAAGGCCATAGCCGGCCTGAAAACCGGCGCCGTCGAGCCCGCCGACCCCAAGGTCATCGCCGCCATCGCCCCCGCCATCGCAGGCTCATGTGCCCTCCTCTCCATCTTCGACCCAGCCACTTCGACCCTTCGCGTCGCCTGTACCGGTGACTCCCGCGCCGTCCTGGGCTCCATCGCTCCCGGCGCGACCTCGTACTCGGCGCGCGCCCTCTCCAAGGACCAGACGGGCCACAACAAGGATGAGTTTGACCGCATCGCCAAGGAGCACCCGGGCGAGGAGGCGGAAATGATCGACACCAAGAGCGGCCGCCTCTTCGGCATCGCCATCACCCGTGCATTTGGCGACCACCGCTGGAAGTGGACTGCGGACGCCATCAAGGAAGCCCAGAACGACTTTTTCGGCACCGGTGTGCGGCCCAAGTACCTCACGCCGCCGTACATGACCGCCGCCCCCGTCGTGACCACTGTGACGGAGATCAAGGGCCCCGACTTTGTCATCCTCGCTTCAGACGGCCTGTGGGACCACATTTCGTCCGAACACGCGGTGGAATGCGTGTCGCGCTGGATCACGGCCAAGAAGGCCGGCGAGAAGACGCCTCGAGACAAGCTCGCCGTGACTCCGGGCGTCAAGAGCGAGTTCGACATGTCTGCGGGCTGGGCGAACTGGTACGCCAAGCCTGAGCACTTTGTCGTCGAGGATCTCGACAACGCGGCTGTACATCTGATCAAGAACGCGCTGGGCGGTACGCGCAGGTCCCTCTTCACCGGCGTCACGCTCGCATACCCGCCGTTGGCTAGGAACGTCAGGGATGATGTTACAGTTCAGGTCATCTTCTTCCAGGACCCGGCCAAGGAGGCTTGATGATTTTGGGTTGCCTGCAAACATGCAGAGCGATTGAACATTTCCTCATCTTCCCGACTTCAGGGCACGGCGTTAGGTTTCTTGAGATTCAGGGGCGTTTCTTTAACAGCTCAAATGCCGTGCCATGGCCCATGACTCCGACGAGTCCATGATGTAGAGCGCATCATCGTCACCCAACAGCAACATCACATTTCATGATAGCAAAAACACGTAGAAAACTGATAAACCCCCGAAAAACAATACAATAACACTATCCATGGCAAAAGAAAGATCCCAGATCCCCAGTGTCAGCCCGCCAAATCCCTGTGTCCAAGTATGCAACTTTGAGCACCTGTCGGCAGAATGACAATGGCAGCATCAACTCACTCACATATCTACTGATGTCACAGCAGTAACAATTACTTCAACCGGTAGATTGACGGGAAAGGAAACTATAGAATGACTACCTCAAAAACTGTGCCCCGTATATCTGCCCTGAAGACTGCATTTCTCTTTCTCATCGGCCGGGGCAAGAAACATGGAAACGCCTAGACGCCGCATCTTTATCCGTCACTCAACAATTCAAACCCCTCAAATGAGGAGGAAATCATCATCAAAAAACTCCAAAGGCAACGCCCTAGCAATGCCAGCCTGTGGGGGCTTCTGGCAGTCGCAATTCTTGCAGTTCTTGCCATTCTTGCAGCAGTTCATAGGCTCCGTGATGACGAACTCTTCCGTGGGGTCTAGCGCATCCTCATGGCTGACAAAGTCAAAGGCCTGGACATCGTCTTCCTTCTTGAGCCTATACACTATGCCTTGACTTGGGTTCGCGCCGGGGCTGGACCAATTGTGCTGTGATTATCTGGTGTTAGCGAGGGATTAATGACAAGGCGAACCGATGCGATTTGTACTTACAGGGTCAATCACAGGAGATAGGGGAGAGCTCAGCGAGAATGGAGGAATCTCACGATCGTCCTCAACCTCTGGTGCCTTTGACACCTCACCCGACTTGGCCACAGTCTCGGGCTCGTGACGAATCTCCACTGAAACGGCGTCCCGGTCGATTTGCTCCTCCGCTCTGGCCGCGGTAGCAGAGATACGACCCAACTCCTCCGAGATGGAATGGATGCTCTTCGTCGCCGAGAGCTGCCAGTTCTTGATCATCTCAATCATATCGGCATACCCCTGCTCGGGGTTGTAAACAGGCTTAGACGAGACGTCAGAAGCCTCAATCTGCTGCTTCTTGGCTTCATACTCTGCCTGCCGCTTCAGCTGGACCCGCTTCTGCTCCTCTCGCTTCTGTCTCTCCTTGAACTCGTACTCTTGTCGCTGCTTCTGCATGAGCTCGGCCTCACGCTGTCTGACTCCACTCTGCAGCGCTTCGAGCTCCTGCTTGCTCTTGAGCAGAGCTTCATGGCGCTGCTGCTGCTTGAGCCGAAGTTCTTGTGATGCTTTCTTCCTGCGCTCGAGGTCTTGTTCCTGCTGCTGCTGCTGCTGCTGCTGCTTTTGTTGAAGCTGATACTCCTCTAGTTGCTTCATCTGGCGCTGGTACTTTTCTCTCTGCCTCTGCTTGGCTTGCTCTTCCTGACGGTGCAGCTCTGCCTGCTTCTGCTGCAGCTTCTGCCTCTCCTCCTCTTGCCACTTCTCGTTCTCGTGGTTGCATTCTTGCGCGTTCTTCAACAGCAACTCGACGTAATCTTGCTGCTGTTGCTTTAGCTTGAG